CCTTGCAGGCAGTGATGGACTTCACTAGTGTCACCAAACTTGTCACCAAACTCATTCAGTGATACTCATTAAATACATGTCAATCACACCTCAGTAAAGTGGTTTATAAAATACACATGTGATACAAGTTGATCCCTGATCCCTATCAGATTTGTTCCTTCATATTTCCAAAAGGAACTGGGAAGAAAATGTCTCCATTGTCCTGGTGATAAAATTGGGAAAAACAGAATCAAACTTGTTCTTGATGCTGCTTTACTTTTGCCTTCCCTGTGGCTGAGTTATATTCAGTCAACGAATTTCATGTTCCTTAACAATCCTCCTCCTCCCCTGCCTTTTTATTCTTTAACCAAAGCATGAGGTCAGCATTTGACATGGTGATTAAGACGCCACTTGGGATGCCCACACTCCATATCAGAGTTCCTGATTTTGAGCCCTGACTCCACTCCTAATTCGTTTCCTGCTACTGTGTACTCTGGGAAGCAGCAGGTGATGGTGCAAATAGTTGGGTCCTTGCCACCCATGTAGGAAACTCAGATTGAATTCCTGGTTCCCAGGTTCGACTAGGCCCAGCCCTGGCTATAGCGGGCATTTGGAAATATACCAGCTGATGGGAGATTTCTATCTGTTGTTTGCTGTCTCTCTGTCTTCCAAATAAATAACCTAAAATAAATAAATTTAAGCTTGTTTGAACTGGGTTCTAGTCACATCCAAATTAATTCTAACCAATACAGTACAGGTATTCAAAGTTCATATTTTATTAAAAGTATGCCTATGAATGTGATGCAGTGTAGCACAGTAGAAGTCTGTTGGTTATTAAACTAGAAAATATGATTCATTTGGAGTGCTAGTGCCACCATTTACTAGATGTGTGTAGGTTGGAAAAATCATTTACTCTCTTGTCTCTGTTTCTTCCACTGTGAAATGGGATAGTACTACCTAATGTGATTCCTGAGGTTTCTAACCTGATTGACTATGACAACAGAAGTAAACATGTGTAATAAGGCATAAAGATACCTGTACCTCTGATAGTAGTATTTACCTGAAGAAGAAAAAATTGCATTTATAGAACAAATTGATCATTAGAAAATATTTCTGGTGTTGTTGAAGGTAAAATTTATAATATGAGATGTTTCCAATGCCCCTGGTCTTTTAGCTTATATTGTGGGGAGCAACCCGGACTGGACTAGGTTACTGGAATTAAGACTTATTCTATGCATCTGCTCTCCCACAATATGGCGCTGAGAAGGGAGAAACAGCTTCTATACAGCTGCCTCCAGTTCAACCAATAAACTGTAGGACCTGCTCCTGATTGGAGGAGAGCAGCGTACTCTGCGTGTGGGTAGCAGAGTTGGGATTGGCGGAGGAGGACTATGGGGGAGGAGAGAGACGGCATGCACGAGGAACATCTAAGGGGAACATCTATCTGAAGGAACACCTGTGCAGCCCCCGAGAGAGCCGGCCGGCGGTGTGCCGCTCCCCCGCGGAAGTGGGGAAAGTGGCAGGGGGAACCGCCCTTCTATGGAGGTGGAAGGGACGGTAGCCAACCCTGGAAGAACCAGCAGCAAACCCGGGGAGGGCCGAGCAGACAAAAGAACAGCGCAGGGTCCTGTGTCATTCCTCCACGAAGAGGGGGAGCGACATATATGAATGTATAATGAATTTTAGGAATAAACAATAATATTGGAAAACCTTTTTCTTGTTCTCAGATGCTTGCTTCGAGGGTAATTTGTGATGAGAATCTGCGAGAGGCAAGCATTGGCCATTGGTCAACAGAACTTGTTCCTAATACTGACTCAGTCACTAATCAATATATGACTTGAGACAAACCACTGAACTTTTTCAGACCTCTGTGTTTCTACCTATACCGTGAAGAGTTTGGCCTAGTTCTCTAAAATGCTTTCTGGCTCAATAAGTCAATCATCCTAATGGAGTAGACAGGGCATGCACATATGAGCAGAGACAAGAATGCTTACCAAGAAATTTACCAACAAGTACACACACATGCAGAACTATACAGAATAACCCCACTTGGATGGTCCTAAATCAAGAAAGATGCTGACATCTTGGCTATGAAGTCTCTTGTCATTGAACTGCTTACAACAACAAAAAATTAAAATAGAAAAATTGATCACATCAAACTGAACTGCATGCATCAAAATTCCCCCCAGCAGCTGAGCAGGTCACGTGAAATGCTGTGATGTGTCTGCTAGTGTGAGGCACTTTCTCATTGATTGTTTCACTTAATTCCAGAGAAGTTCAGTAACTTACTAAAAGTCACCCAGCCAGCAAGCAGCAGAATGATAGTCAAACATGAATCTTAATTCTAAGGCCAACACTCATACTGTGGTACCATTACTGACTAATGTCCACTTGAGTACATCTCGTGGCATGCAAGTGGATTTAACTGTAGACCTCAAGGAAACACCCTGGTCAAATGAATGTATTTTCCTCCCCCAACCTTTGGCTTGTGTAATGCTTTTACATTTTTAATTAATTCATTGGTTAATCTGAGATGCAAGGGGGGGGGGTTCAGAAAGAGAAATAATGAGAGAAAGGAGGGAGAAGAGATGGAGATTAGTGAGTGAATGAGAGAGAGAGAGACAGAGAGAGAGAAAGAGAATGAGTTCTGTGCTCCACCATTTGCAGATTCACTCCTCAAAATGTCTGCAGTAGCCTGGGCTGGACCAGGCTGAAGCCAGGAGCCAGGTCTCCCACATGAGTGGTAAGAACCCAACTACCTATGATATCACCTGCTGTCTCCCACGGTGCACATTAACAGGAAGCTGGAATCAAGACTAGAAGCAGGATATGAACTCAGCCTCTCCCACTTGGGATGCAGATTTTCTAACCCAGTGTCTTAACTGCTAGGCCAAATGCCTACCCCAAACTTTAAAAAAAAAATAATGACCATTTCTGTAATTTCATCTCTATTGTGTTTGCTGGAGCTGGAAATTTCTACTCCTACTGACTCCCTGTGTATCACTAAGGGCTAATAATGTCAACACACATCTAGTTGGCATAAACAACTTCCTTCAATTGCTACCACATCTGATGAGTCTTCCTATAACAATCCTTTTACAGTGAAGCACTTTTTTTTTCAACGTTGAAGACAGAATTCCTTGCAAGTGGGGGACTTTCACTGACTTTCTTTGTAATATTTCTCTCCTGTCCGTCTTGTTAGTCTTTACCATGTACTCACTTTGCTTTGGCCACTGGAGTATTTCCTTGAGTTGCCGCTAATAGATTAATGCACGTGCTTTATTAAGATATATGGATGTGTCATGCTAAGCATCAGCTGTTCTGGAGGGCAGCAGCAGTCCTTCCCTTGATAGGAGACCTTCCTTTAGCTTTTGCAAAAAAGTAAATGATCAGGCTATTCTGCCAGTGCCTGAAGCAGCTCCCTGCATTTCCCCTGTGAGTCCTCCATGGGAAGTATTCTATACAATGAGATGAAAATAAATTGAGAGAGAAGTATATCTATCATGTACCAGGCCAGACACCCTGTTTCAGAAATCTTGGAAACAATAATGTGAAGTTATATTGTTTCTCAGTCAGAGGCAATTGCCAAGTTTCAGATTGTGTACAGCGAGCAGGAATCAGCTCTGGGATGTCAGCCTCAAGAGTGTGTGTTTGCAGTGGCTACTTAGTAGGCTTGCCCTTCTTTTACCATGCTGGTTACAGAGTGTGCTGCAGACCAGAGGTAACATGTCAAGCCTGCAGGTTGAAATAATCCTTAAAATTAGAATTACATAGAGGTGCTCCTACTAATTACTATATTTTGTTCACTCTTAACAGAGAAGTAACTAGTGGAATCCACTTGTTCAGGTATCTATGTTTTATAAGCCCTAAGAGAGGCATGTCACTTGAGGCTTTCTGAAGATGAAATAAAAAAAATTAGCTGTGATTGATCAATTCTAAAGGGTACAATGGAGAAAATTACCTTTAGGTTAATATCCATGCTTTTACTGCGGAGAAAGTTTTGAGCTCATGATTGATTACTCAAAAATAACATTTATTTTAGTAAATTTAGGTAGCAATTTTGTTTTTGATGTAATACATTTGATAATTCCATTTGGAACCCAGGTTATGTAAAATACTTTGCTGTCACTAAACTTTCTTTCCCCCAGAAACCTTTTATTTAAGGAATACAAACTTCATACATTTCATAGTTACAATTTTAGGAACATGGTGATTCTTCCCACTGTACCCACCTTCTACCTATACTCCCTCTTCCTCCTCCCTCTCCTATTCCCATTTTTATTTTTTACTATGATCTGTTTTCAATTAACTTTATACATATATGACTAACTCTGTATTAACTGAAGAGTTTAACAAATAGTATAAAAAAAAAAAAGCTGTTCCTCAGCAGTTGAGACAAGGGCTATTCAAAGCCATTGTTTCTGAAAGTATCAATTTCACTTCTACAGACTGCCTTTTAAGTGCTCTATTATGTATTACAGGTCAGGGAGAACATATAGTACATATAGTATTTGTCCTTTTGGGACTGGCTTATTTCACTAAGTATAAGATTTTCCAGTTTCATCCACTTTGTTGCAAATGACCAGATTTCTTTTTCTTTTTTCCTGTGGTGTAGTATTCCATAGTGTACATATCTCATAATTTCTTTATTCAGTCTTCGGTTGATGGGCATTTGAGTTGATTCCATATCTTAGCTATTGTGAATTGAACTGCAACAAACATGGGGGAACAGATAGCTTTCAGATACTGATGTCATTTCCGTTGGGTAAATTCCCAGGAGTGGGATGGCTGGTATACATATGGTAGGTCTGTGTTCAGATTTCTGAAATATCTACATATCGTCTTCCATAGTGGCTTTACCAGTTTTTATTCCCACCAGCAGTGGATTAGAGCACCTTTTTCCCCACATCCTTGCCCGCATCTGCTTGTTGATTTCTGTATGAAAGCCATTCTAATGGGAGTGAGGTGAAACCTCATTGTCTATCACTAAGGTTTTTTTTTTATATATATATTTATTACAGGTACAACAGAGGTCTCCATAAATAGTTGCATAAAATGTTAAAGCCACAACATTATCACTAAGTTTTAAAAGAAAGTCACATATTACATGTATACTACTCTATTAAGGTCAAGTTGACTTAGTTATAATTTTAAGTCACCCTTTTCTAGTGTACAGAACCCTAAACTTTGAAAATGTCTGTAGTTGTGTAATTGCCAGCATAAACAAGACATACAATGTTGCTATTACCCTAAAACCTTCCTGTACCTTTGCTGTCACCCCACCCCCAAGCCCTTAGCAACTACTGATGTATTTCTTCAACTCTAGTTTTACCTTTAAAAATGTCATTTAAATGGAATGTGCAGCATGCACCTTTTAACTTTAGCATCTCTGGGATGGGCGTTATGGTACAAGAGGTGCAGCCATCACTTGGGACACCTGCATCCTGTAGCAGGCTGTCTGGGATTGAGTTCCACCTCTACTTCCAATCCAGCTTCCTGCTTAGGTACCTGGGAGCCAGCAGATGATGTTCAAAGTTTTGGGTCCCTGCCACCTCTATGGGAGACCCAGATGGGGTTCCTGGCTTCAGTTTGGCCCAGTCCTGGTTGTTGTGGACATTTGGGGAATGAACCAGTGGATATAAGATCTCTCTTTCTCTCTGTCCTTCTCTGTCCTCTGCCTCTCAAATAATTAATAAATTACTAAAACCTAAAATAAATTTAATATCTTTCACTTAGAATAAAACTCTTGAGTTTCAACCTGGTAGTTGCATGCATCAATAGTTTGTTCTTGTTTATTGGTAAGCAGTACCCTGTTGCATAGGTGTACCACACTTTGTTTATTTGATCACAAGTTACTGAATGTTTTCCCTCCCTAAACTTCTCTTCAAGTATCTGGATATTACTTATGAAGATTTGTGAAGTCTTTGTATGGATATATGCTTTCATTTCTCCTGAGTAACTAACTACGTGTACTAGAACAGTTGGATCTATGTGATAAGCTTACATTTAACTATTTAAGAAATTGCTAAACTGATCTTCTGTATATAAGGAGAATTGAAAATGAATCTTGATGTGAATGGAAGGGGGGAGGGAGAGGGAAAGGGGAGGGTTGCGGGTGGGGGGGAAGTTATGGGGGGGGGAGCCATTGTAATCCATAAGCTGCACTTTGGAAATTTATATTCATTAAATAAAAGTTAAAAAAAAAAAAAAGGAATTGCTGGGGCTGGCACCTTGACTCACTGGTTAATCCTCTGCCTGCAGCGCTGGCATCCCATATGGGCGCTGGGTTCTAGTCCTGGTTGCTCCTCTTCCAGTCCAGCTCTCTGCTGTGGCCTGGGAGTGCAGTGGAGGATGGCCCAAGTGCTTGGGCCCTGCACCCCACGGGAGACCAGGAGGAAGCACCTGGCTCCTGGCTTTGGATCAGCATAGTTCCGGCTGAGGCGGCCATTTGGGGGGTGAACCAACGGAAAGAAGACCTTTCTCTCTGTCTCACTGTCTAAATCTAGCTGTCAAGAAAGAAAGAAAGAAAGAAAGAAAGAAAGAAAGAAAGAAAGAAAGAAAGAAAGAAAGAAAGAAAGAAAGAAATTGCCATATTGTTCTTCCAATGTGGTGGTACCATTTTATTTTATCACCAGCAGTGTGAGAGTTATAGTTGTTTGCTATCTGCATTAACACATGGAATGGTCAGCCTTCAGTTCGATCTAAGAGATTTATAGTAATATCTCATTGCGGGTTTAATTTGCATTTCCTTACTTAACAAGTAATGAGGTTGTTAGTATGTTCTCAACAGTTACAACATATTTAACACTTTTCCATATACTTATTTTTAATCTTCTGTTTATTTAATGATGTGTTTTTAATTTTTTCATTTTTAATTGGGTTATTTATTTTTCTTTATTAAATTGTCAGTTATTTATATATTCTGGATACCAGTACAGTATCTGATATGTGTTTTAGAAATATTTCCTCCTAGTTTGTGGCTTTTCTTTTCATTTTCTTAACAGTGTTGTTCAAAGAGAAGTTTCTATAATAAATTCAAAATTTCTTTTTATCTTTTTTGATAGCTTATGTTTTTTGTGCCTATAAAAAATCTTTGCCTAACCTGTATACTTACTTTTTGATAAGGAAAATAATTCTTTATAAAACCTGGAGGAAAGTTCTCTAAGGTTATAAAATTCTCCTATAATTTGTGGCTGTGCAAATGTCTTCAAGGTAAGTCTTTCTTACGTATAAAACACATCTTTCTAACTGAATCATGAGTTCACAGTGCTCTTTTCCTAATGAACTTTGCTCCATGTTGATAGGGCTGTCTTTACATAATTTTATTATTTTGCATGTGAGTCTTCACTCGAGACAGGTAATCATGGAGTTATTTTCCCTGATCAATATCATAAGCATATTTTCTATTATAATAAGTTATTTAGTGTTCCTTGATATATATATATATTTTGTTATTTATCTCTACACTGGTCTATAGTTCAGTGACTTGTTGAAAAGCATAGCTACTTTTTTATATATATATATATATATAAAATCCAAGTCAACTCTAAAATGGAGAGGCTATGTGTATTTCTTGAAATGTTGATTTCGTTAGGCAAAACAGTAGAGTTTCAGCGCTAGTAGTAATTCTAATTATGTTGATGAATGTATTCTTGCTTTTTTGTTTCAGGTTTTGAGTCTTTTCCTACAGCTTCATTTTTGACAGGTTGTTTTATATTTCATAAAATATTCATAATTGTGTAAGGCTCTGTACAGAAATAATTCACAAGCAGCAAAATTAGAAACTTACCTCACTGGGCATAGCACTTTGTTTTCACCTAACCTTATTATTGATTATGCTAGCTAAGAATATTCATAATTCTTTGGCAAAATATATTCATGTTTATTTCTTATCTATATATGTAGTTACTTACTCACTCAGTTATATTACCAGGAAAGTCGTTGGGCTTGTTTTATTTTATATGCTGTTGTCTATTTCTTATGTTAGATTCTAAGTTTCTTGTCTTTATTTATTTATTTATTTAGAACTTTGTTTCTCTCATTTTAAAAACACTTCATTTTTTATTTTATGTGAAAGGCACACACACACATACTCACACACACACACTGCAAGTGAGCATGTGCAAGAGTGAGCTCACATTTGCCGGTTCACTCCTCCAAAGGCTCACAACATCTGGCACTGGGAGCCTGGAACCAGGAACTGAGTTTCCCATGTGTGTGGCAGGGATGTAACTACTTGAGGCATTTTCTGCTGCCTCCCAAGATGCACATTTGTAAGAAGCTGGGATCAGGCAAGAGCTGAGACTTGAACCCAGGCATTCTAATACGGGCTGTGAATAACCCGATGGTCTTCATAACCACAGTGCTAAGTGCCACTCCTTGATTGTGAGTTTTTTGAGTGCAGGCAATATGCTTTACTAACCCTTACATTCCCAGTGCCCAGCATAGGACTGTCATACAGGCCCGAGGAAGTGAAGGTGAGCATTAAAATGATGCCTGAATTCATGTAATTTTTTCTGTCCTCACCTGTCATTCTGGAGACAGAAGACAGAGATTTCTTAGATGTCAAAAGCTTAGTTTTGGAGTCAGATGGGCTTGGGTTCGAATCCCAACTCTTGCACACTGGCTATGTCACCCTGTACACCAAATTTACCTTGGATAGTTAGTACATCAATTTTATAATTTATAAAATGGAGGTGTCGCTCAACTTCAGCTGTTTTGAGTGTTAAATGATGCACACAAAGTACATAACCCAGGGCATTCAATACATGGCAGCTGTTGGTAGCATCAAAATGTATTTTTATGTCTGTGATCACATTATTGCAATATTATGTCTTTAAAAATTCTAAGGTTTTGAGCTTTACTAGCTACCATAAAAATGCAGCATTTATTTTATTGAAAATTTATTGCTTTGTATTCTCTGAACCAGATGGAATTTCCCCCATCTATCTGAATTCCATTCTGAATATCACAGAGCCTGTTGATGTTTGCTTCACTTGCATTTTCTTAATGGTGTGTAAGAGTTGAGTCTTATATAATCTGTAAGGCTTATGACTTTCCAGGTAAAACGTCCATGCAAGGAGTGCCTATTTTTTCTGTATTCTACTCACAAATTTAGGATTCTCATCTAGTCTCTTTTTCATTCTGAAGAAGTTGAATTTACTCCCAAATTCTGGAAGCTAGTCATATTCTTTTAAAATATATTTGAGAAATGTTCTCATCATTAGAAATATTTATTTATTTATTTATTTGAAAGTAGAGTAAAAGAGGGAAGGAGAGAGAGAGAGAGAGAGAGAGAGAGAGAGAGAGAGAGAGGTTTTCCATCAGCTGGTTCATTCCCCAGTTGCCTGAAATAGCTAGAGTTGGGCCAGGCTGAAGCCTGAAGCCAGTAGCTCCATGTGGGCCTCCCATACGGGTGGCAGGGATTAGCTGATAGCTGGATTGGAAGGGGGGCAACCAGGACTCAAACTGGCACTCTGAAATGGAATGTCAGTGTTGCAAAAGGCTGCTTACTCCGCTGTGCTGCGATACTAGCCCTTGTTCTCATAATGTTAGATTTTTTAAAGTATTATCTGCCCACATCCACATGCATGTAGGATGCTACAAGCTGAATACATACAATGCCTTTCATTCATTGACTCACTCATCCCTACTTTATGTTCACACATTTATTAATTACCTACTTCATACTTGGCACTGAGCTCAGTCTTGTTAATGATATGCAAAATTGCTTCTTAACAGTTGTAGGAAATCATAAAACTATGCATTCATTCAACCTGGAAAATCTATATTTTTGGAAAAATAATAACATATTCAATAACATTTTTATTTGTGAATAACTGAAAGGGCATTATGTAAGTTTCTAAAATTTTGAAAATCAGTCTTTGGAGAGAGATAGATTTAAACTAGCTTCACAAGCACGTGGTTACCCATCAGCCAGCCTTCAGAGTAGCCCCAGTGCCTTCCAATTTCATATCCTCTAGCCCCCCGTGGATATTAAGACCTCGTGTCTGTGCCATCAATTTTCAGATTTCATGGGAACTGAGGAATTCAAGCCTGGCAGAGACAGTTTTCCCTAGGACACTCTGTTACTTATAATTTCTCCAGTGTGTGCTCTTGCTGATCCTTAGTTGCACTCAGTGGAACTAAATACAGATCTTGTTGAATCTGATCATTTAATATAAAATAGCCAAGACTCTTGAAGTCATCTGGGTGTTGTTTAACAGAGAACTTTCTGGTTATGGCCAGATACCCCGCATACAGGAGAGTCAGTTTATTGTGGCCTCTGAGGGTGAGATTTTGCCCCCTCTTTTCTCCTGTTCTTTGTTCTTGGCACCACTTTCCTTAGCTCCTTGCTCTTTTGAAACCTCCTAACTATGTATGGAACACACACACACACACAGACACACACACACCTGAGTCTTCAGTTTTCCAATTTTCCTGAAGTCTTAAGCTAATGTTTCCATTAGTTATTCTTTGATCCTTGAAGCAGGGTAATTGATTTGCCTTTATCCAGATCTATACATTATGTGTTAGTAGATGAGAAATCACAGACAAATGGCAGGGCTTGGCAGGAGGCATCAACACAGATTAGTTGATGCTGATCAAATAATAACCACAAGTCAGCTCTACTCTGCTCAATGAGTCTCCAGAGGGAAATCACAGAAATCTCTTCTATTTCTCAGAATGGCTTTCTTGCTCTTGTACTCTTAATAAAAGCATTTATTCCCTAAGCATCCTGGGGTAAAATTTAGTCCTGATCAGTAACAGTCATCATGGCATTAAATATTTAAGGGCAGAAATGTGAAAGAGCTGTCAGAGTGCCGGGAATAATGGCGGGAGAATTAAAATGGCATTAAAGCACACACTTCCTAGGCAATGTGTGTGGAATCTGAGGAAACCCAGAAGGAACTACGTAACTGACAGAAGCAGAAAGGTGTTGGTGTATCTACTGAATCAACAAGTAGAACCTGGGAAGGAAGAATTGACAGTATTTTCTGGTCAAGAGAAAATGTTTTCTCGGTGATGGGCTGGAAGCCAGCAGTATAAATTTCCACTCAAGCTTGCATGTCTGAAAGGGTCCTTGCTCTTTTATCTGCCTTTTAACTGGTATAATCCATATGCATTTGGCCAGGCTGAGTTGTGTCCTCTTTTGGATTCAAAGAAATAGCAGTAAGAGCTTTTTCCATTCACCATCATTAGGTTGTCTCATTAGAATGGGAATTTCTGCTTAGCCATGGCTTTACTGCTAGGTCAGGACACTGGGACTTCCTGCTTGGGAGGGAATTCTGCGAAGGGGCAAGCAGATGAAAGGAAATCAGAGAAGTTGGAGTTGCTCTGCTGGGTTATGTTTCCAACTGGGGTCAGTAGCATGGATATATCTTTAGGAACTAGCAGGTACACTGAGACTAAGAGTCTGAAGGGTGGTAACTAGCAATCCAGATAAAGTAATTTATGAGTCCCTGGACCAATCAGTAGAGGTAGAGACATATATTGTAGATCAGGAAACATGGATCCTGGCACAGGGAACATGAGGAAGCCTATAAAAGTAAATGTGTCGGCAACAGGGAACAATGCCTGATTCCACCTCTTAACTTCCTGCCACTGCACGGGCTATTGGATGACCACTGGGCAAATGAGTGAGTTCTGCTCCTGATACTGGTCTTGTCGCCTTTATCTGATGTCTTTAATTCGTCTGTCTCTGACCTCCTGTGGATCAAGGCTGTAGGGTAGTGGGTGTAATCACTTTACAACTCAAGTTTGAATCTCACCCGCCTCTGCCACTTCACACACTGTGTCACCTCAGACAAGTTTATTTACCTTTATGAGCCTCTGCCCCTTGGTTATAAAATGGCAAAAATAATTCCTACATTGTGGAGGTGTTATGAAGGTTAAATGGCATGAAGTATGTCAAACCCCTGTTGCAGGAGCGGACGTGGTGAACAGAGGATGCTATACTCAACAAAGTGGTTTCTTACCATGCGTCCAACCACAGCTGCTCTAGGTCTCTGTCCCATGGGAGCCCATTAGTTCATTGAATTTTTGCTGGAAAGGGTCATCCCTAGGAGGTACCCGTTCCCTGGATATTTCTATCCCAACATCTTGATACTCCCTAAACTGAGCACCATGGAGTGCTTTGTGCTTGTCACTTCAGTCATCCTGATTTTTGGTTTGTCCCTTTGCCTTTTCTTAATCCTACTAAAATACATAAACTCTCTTTAGTGAACAACTTAGCAGTGTTTTATCCCCACCACTGAGTGATTTCCGTACATTTCAGGGACTATTTTAGGCACAGTCTATATCATGCTGTATGATTAAGAGTTAATTCATAAGCTGATAAAAAAAATCCTGAAATTACTTATTTTTAAATTACAGCTCAAGCTTGCATGTCTGGTGCATTTAAGGTGCAATAAAGTTTTTCTGGGCATTACGTTTTTGGCTAAGTGTTTCAATGTCAACTGATATATGGGAGAATGCACTTTGACTTCAGTACAGCTGGCAAATTTAAACAGCCAACCACCATCTAATATTCCCAGGCATGACACAGGAAAAGATGTTTCTGCTTATGTCTTTTTCCTTCAGTAGGCTCCCGACGTGAGAGAGACCAGGATCTGTAAACACAAACAATAAGGAACTCGTTTTAAAACAAATAGGTGGTTGCTCTAACTGTGATCTGGGAGGAATAACTGACCTTTACCAGCATAC